CCCCCCCCCCCCCCCCCGTCTGGTCTGGAATGCACTGGAACTGCGGGCAGGTTCACACCATTTTTTGGTCCAGATCTGGTCTGGAAAATGGTGTGAACGTGCCCTAAATAAGCATCAAACTGATGAATTGATCAAACATACACAATCTTATATATAAATAAGTAAATAAACCCATTCACATGTGTAAATAAATATAAATTACCCTAAAAACACTATGTGAAGTCCATAAATCAAAAATATGTGCAGTCCATAAATTCAAGGTGCTCTCTCTAAAAACAGTTTGTGTCGAACTCCAAGCGGTGCTCTTCCTCAAATCGTACTCCCCTTCTTATAGCACACTCACCAGAATTGGTGTGATCATGTCAACTTATACATACGTCAAAACACGCCTCAATTGTTCACCCCTCCTCTCCATCCGTGGTTCCTCTCGTTAAGCAATGATCATCAGGGAACTGTTCCTCCTCCAATATCAGTGCGGTCACCATCCCATTGAGAGTCACATTAAACACAGAAACAGAAGAAGCTCATAGGGTATAATAGCTTTATTAAAATGAAAACTAAAAACAAATGCCCGTAGATATGCGTGTTCTGCATCCAGCACAGATTTGGATCCCACACTCCAACAGGGAAACAGGCAAAAAACACTAACAGGTTCCTGATTAATAACTACTCATCCAGCGGCAGTGGTGTCATCAGACCCACTCAATGCGTTTCGTAAGTTCACTTTATCAAGAGTGTTTCTTCTTAGGGCCTCTATATAATACAGCTTTGCAGAGCTTTGACACCCTTTAGTAAGTCTTTACCTTGGGCTATCCTTACTTGTTTCAGGAGCAATGTCAGAAGATGAAAGACTTTCTGGCTAATGGCGCATCAGATGAGGAGAACCTGGAGGCCAAAATCGAAAAGCGCAAGAAGGAGCTGGAGAGGAATCGCTCCAGACTGCAGACTCTACAGAGTGTCAGGTGAATGAAGTTTCCTTAAAATGGGATTCTTTTTTAAAGAAGAACCATCTGCTTCTGATTGTACCATCTGCTTCTGACTCACGTATGTATTTATATGACTCCTACAAAGGGGAAACGGAAATTTTTTTTTTTTGTCTGATCTGCATCCTTATCCACAGTCAGTGCCTTGGGAAATATTGAAGCCAGGGCTTACCATAACAGCAAGGCAGCTAGCATTTTAAAGCCTGTGACACAGAGCGAAGCTTTGCGTGCAGTGTGTGAGCTGAGTGCAGTCAGAAGATTGACTGCACCTTCAGCCAATTGGCTTGTGCGTAACAACCAGCCTGATGGGTTTATACGCGCGAGCCAATTGGCTGAAGATGACATTTATCATCTCTGCACGCTCAGCTACGCGAGCTCTCGCAAGCTGACGTGCCGAGGAGAAAATTACATGACACACTGCTCGCGAAGGCAGCGCGCCACCGCTCCGCGCTGCTTCGCGTGCAGTGTGTCACAGCCTTTATAAGGAGATCTCCAGTTGCAGCCCTCTTCTCCCTCATTAAATTTTTTCACAGTTTGAATGTGGTAAAAATGTTTGCGCGATTATATTTTGTTTAGTGTGTCCCCACTGGGAAATGATCCCTTAGAACAGGGGTGGGGAACCTCCGGCCTTCCAGCTTTGGTAAAACTACAAATCCCATGATGCATCTGTCTCTGGGAGTCATTCTTGTGGCTGTGAGAATCTTGCAATGCCTCATGGGATTTGTAGTTTCACCACAGCTGGAGGGCTGGAGGTTCCCCACCCCTGCCTTAGAGCTTGTCCTAGTGACCTCACAGGAAGTGAGTAAATATCTTCCCCAGTGGAGACAGCTAGCGATTAAAGCCCAAAAGACTTCCTAAGCCTTCTCATTCTATCCGAACAAAAAGAAACTTGAAAAATTTTGTAAATAATGTAGATTCATAAAGAAAAAAAAATTAAAGTACATATAGGTGCACAGCAAAATACAGTGAAGGAAATGTATCAAAACTGGGGCAGACAAAAACAGGCATGTCAACCAATCAGCTTCTCTCTTTCATTTTCTTATCTTAACTGAACAAACTGAAGAGAGAAGCTGATTGGTTGCAAAGCACATTGCTCCAGTTTTTGTCTGCTCCAGTTTTGATAACTTCCCCTCAGTATGTATAACCATAGACATGAAAGATCTGCCCTCACAGGCCCTGCTTTCTGACACGAGCATATAAATGGCCTTGTGCATGAAAACCTCCGTCTATAAAAATATCTTTATTGGCCTTTGCAAGTGGATTCCTTCTATCATTCTTCTTTTACATTTTGGGAATAAAAACAGACAACTGATTGACTGCTGTAGACAACACCTCCATGTTCAATATTTTTTTTGATCTGTGAGGCCCATTGTGTCCTGGAGCCTATAGGCAGCATTGGAGCAAAGTCATGCAGCTCTCAGCTCTTTGATCTCCAAGCTTCTGGATTTCATGCTGTTTCTCTATACACAGGCCGGCCTTTATGGATGAGTATGAGAAGCTGGAGGAAGAACTGCAGAAGCAGTATGAGATTTACGTGGATAAGTATCGCAACCTCTGCTTTCTGGAACAGCAGCTGGAGGACCATCATCGGGTGGAACAAGAGCGATTTGAGGTGAGGACCATAAGGGCCTGTCTACACATTGAGATTTAACATCCTATTTGTTCCTCTGTGACTTCATCAATGTGCAATTAAAAAATTAAACTGTGATCTCTCTGCGGCGGTCCAACACTCCCTTCACTGAGTCACAACCTTAACACAAGGATAAGTATCTTTATTTTCAGCCATGTGACTGTCGCTCTCAAATCTCATTGGACACGGCTAGAAATAACTTACTTATAAGTATCTTTAAAGGAGAATTATGAGGTGAGTGATTTTTCACTCAGCCTCATAATCTGAGCCGACCTGTGACAATGAAACTGTCACAGGTCGGCTCAGTAGATCGGGAAGTGAGTGAACACATAGCGTCACTCGCCCACTTCTCGATCTATCCCTGCAGAGAGCCGTGACTGTCACTCATGGCTGCCTGCATACCTGCAGGGATTCCCCCCTCCCCTGGCGGAACGGGGGAGGGGGTGGGTACAGCTTGCTCTGCCTCTAGATAGGCAGAGCCAGCTGTCGGTCACGCAGCTGGGTGGATCCAGACAGAATTGTCGGGATCCGTTCCGGCTGTGGCGTCTCAGTATACCGTGAGCAGTAGCTCGCAGTATACTGAGCTTTGGGTGGCGGGAGGACGCTAGTTTGTGTCCTCCCGTTACCCTCAGGCGAACTATGGGGAAAAGCCCTAACCCCTTAGTTCTCCTTTAAGCTGCCCACACACCTTGCGAACATCTGATGAATCTTTTCACTCGATGATCGAATCGTCGTACGATTTTCGTACGGCAGCCCCATCCTGCCCCGATTTATCGCAAGCTTGAATCGGCGTTAGTTAAAACAAAGCACCTGGGCGAATTGCGGTAATCGACCGCACGTATTTTCGTTTCAGCAGTGTAAATCGTACGCATTTTCACGTACGGAAACACCACCAACCTTTGCGAAAATCGTACGATGACGCAATGTTTTCTAACCTACTGGATAATAAAAAGTCGATCGATTGTACAGTATTTGCGGTTGTACACTGCCCATCAACCTTACGAATATGGGACGAAAACGCGATCGCATACGAAAATCGGGCGATAATCGTAAGGTGTATGGGCACCTTTAGCTTGATGTTTTCGCTTTGTGGATTGAGCCTACAGAAGGTCATTTGCCCTTCTCTGCAGTCTACTAGCCGGGGTTGGGGGTCAAGGTTGTCTTAGTGATGCCGTGACTACTTTATAAATAAAAGAGAACAGAAATACTTTGCCGACATATTCTTCTGATGCACCCAGGGTCGGTTTATGTAATAGGAAGGTTTACTTGGGCTTTAAAAGTATTTGTTTGTACAATATCAATGTTTTAGGCCTACTGGCCCTTTTAATAGTTACACCATCTCAGAAGAAGACAGTCGTTCACAAATTGTTATCCTAAACCTTAATAGAAGCCTGTGATGTGTTAATTTCCTAGCACCCATCTCTTGATCTGTCATATACTCCGAGGTCTGGATGCTTAATTCCACACCGCGCATTTCACTACCCCGGGCTTCTCACTTGTCAGCACTGAACATGCTTCTTACAGGCACCCGCTATGAAGATGTCACTGTTGATGGCTTCAGTCACACTGATAGGCAAACAAAAAAATATTTTCCTCCCTCCAATGAACTCACGAAGCATTTCATCATTTCATGAATTCATGATAGATTTTGATGCCACCAGAGTAAATATTTGACATGTAAATAAGTACTTGTGCTGTGTATGCCAAGTGGATGTTTAATGCAGCTTTTAGGAGGCTTGTAATGAGATGACGGGTTGGTATATGCCTTGCCCAGTCTCCCTTTTTTAGGAGCAGGGAGGTGCACATCGCAATAATAGGATCGACACCTTCTGTTTTCATGCGTGTTCTCATTTTTTGAACCCTGAGGGCAGGTTTACACGATTTTCTGGACCAGATCTGGAATGCAGTGCATTGCGTTATGCCACGTTTTTACCGTGTTCTGGTGTGTTACGTCTCTGGGATTTGTAGTCCAGAGCATTACATCTGGAGGGTTTTTTTTTTTTTACCTTAAAATGGTCTTACAGGTGCGTTCCAGTACATTTGTATGCGGTTTTGATGCGCTCCAGGGCATTTCAGACCAGACAGTATTTTTCTGGTTTGGACTGCGCTGGTGTGAACAGGTGCCAGAAATAGCATAGGGATGCAACTTGGGTCTGGAAACAATCTGGTCTGGTCTGGAGATGACCCGGACATGGTGTGAATGGGCCATTAAAGAGTTTGAATGTGAATGGAAATGATAGTTATTGATTGTGGTGCCTTATAGCTCTTACCATGATGCAAAGTTTACAGATTGTGCACCTCCTCAGGCACACTGCAGAGTCCTAATAGGGGTGAACTTTTCTTTAATTAATCCCAGTTGAACTTTAGTTTACATCAGCTAAATACATTCCATGTGCATCATAAGAAAAGGTGTTCAATGTCTTACAGTTGTTTTTTTCTTTTTGAAGAAGATGCAGCCTGAGTAGAAAAGCCTATTTCCTGCCAGCAGCTGCAGTGTAACCTGTGCAAAGCAGTGGTCTCTCTGCAGAAGTCTGACATGCCCTCAAATGAGCCAGACCTTCAATCAACAAAGGTCCTGCTACCAACTGATTGGAGAGCTCTAGCTCTCACTCAGCATGAGGCATGCTGGACCTCTGCAAAGAGACCTCTACTTCCACACAGAGAGCAAGGGGTATTCTCTGCAGTATGCTGGCAGGGGACAGGCTTTTCTGCTCAGGCTGACGCTGACAAACAATAAGACTTTTCACATTTGTTTTCTTTTAATGCATTTGAAATATATTTCAATTTAAACCAAAAGCTCAATTAGGATGCACATTTTGCCTTTAGAACTGGCTCACTCTGTTTGGTTGACCATATACAGTCTACCTTTGCAAGAAATGTGACAATACATAATCCTTTCAAACATATGCATATGCTTTAAAGTCAGTTATTGATGCACATCTTTGTGGGTTTTTATATGCACATTTGTTTTCTTTTATTCTGAAGCAAAGTGTGGGAGAAACTTTCATTTTCCATTATGCAGATTTCTTAAACATTGAAAAAACTGCATTTCTTTTTATATCTGTAAAGAAAAATAAAACCAAGGCAACTGTACTTGCTGTATTTTTCTTAAAGACTTTTCACTGGTCATCCAACCAGCTTTTTCAATTAAAAATTCAGAAAGCTGGTCGGATGACCAGTGAAACTTCTTTAAGAATAAATACAGCAGTTGCCTTGATTTATTTTTTACAGATATACCATTACCTGGATGAATGAGGACCTTCTAAAACATGTCTTTTTATAGCTTTACCGTTCATTTCAATTGCCCTACTTAAAACCCAACACAGTATTCAACCCTACCCCACACCAGATGCCTGTAGATAGGGCACACCATGATAGGCAATGAATACTATCTATGGAACTGATTATATGTCTGCCTTGCATTGCAGTAACTCTTTGCTAATGCCGTGGCCATGCATTTTGTAAATGGGCAAAGGGTACACAGAGGTGCAGGTACAACCCCAGTGCTTGTGTCAATCATAACTGCAGGACAGGTGTCGGCCGCCAAGGGGTATAGTTTGTGTGCATCACCCATCGCCCATGTACAGTGTAGGTGCAGTGCTGGAAGACTTTAACTTAATCTGTAGAGCTTCAGCAGAGCTCAGCTTCATAGGGTGGTAAAAGGGGGATTGAACACCCCCTGGGCACTACTGTACGCCAACCTATAATCTAGTCTGTCTTTGTATACAGGTACACTTACAGTTGCATGTCATCACGGATGTAGTATTGCCTACCTCCAGCAGTCTTCTCTTACCAACCCTCTAGTTTAATTTGTCTTCCCCAGCTCACATGGGAGCACATTCTATTTTTATACATAGCACCAGACATGAGGCTGTGGACATTTTTACCTAATCTGATCATTGAAGATTTCCTTTGTGAATCATATCTGCCATCTTTTTCAAGGCAATATGTTCGGATCCAGGATGTGATTATATTTCCTGAATTCTGCAGAACAAACGGAGATACTTCTATAATGAGATCTCTGGGAGAAGAGGAGAAGCTGTTCAATCACTAAGCAGATACAATATATAGCTATAGAGCATCCTTAGGCCTTGGCATGTGCACACAAGCTGAAGCTTCCTGTTACTATATATCACAATGGCCAGTGATGCCCAGCTCATTAGAAATATGGAGATAGGTGGATGGGATACTCCGGTCATGTGAACTGTGGATACTAACTTGTCCGTAGCCCCTTAGGAGCCATATAAAGCCCATTGCACCCTTAAAGAGACTCTCTTTTCATTAATTTAATAGAGAGTGTCGTGATGACAACTAGCACTAAAATGAATTTGCACTGACGTGGAATTTTCGTGCTCGGTTGCTGATGACATCTATGTTTATATCTGTATTCTGAGCGGCGCCTTCCGCTCAGAAAAGAGTTCGGTCAGGAGTGCAGCAAGGTATATGAACATTGTTCTTAAAGAGACTCAGTCGCTAGGCAGATTATTTCAACGAAAAACGTACTATAAGAGTATATGTGCATTAAATGTATTATATGCATGTTATTCACCTATAAAAGCCTCCCTTATGTCAACATGTAAAAGGTTTGGGACTGCAGCTGGGCGCCACCATCTTGAATGTGATTTCAGCAGCCCCAGTAGATACAGAGCTGTCACTCAAATGGCACTCTGTAGCCGGGGTAGCCAAACTTTAACCCTCCAGCTGTTGTGTAGCTACAAGTCCCATGAGGCATTGGAAAACTCTAACAGCCACAAGCATGACTCCCTGAGGCAGAGGCATGTTTGGATTTGTAGTTTCATCACCGTTGGAGGACCAAAATGTAGCTACCCTTGCTCTATAGTATCCCCCTACACTCCTTCCCCAGTAAGGGGAGGGGCAGAAGAGCTAGGCCAGCACAGACAGTAATTAGACACTCCTATAAGAGGAGAGGTGAGGCAGAAGGGAGGACTGGGGATGACTGTGGTTGTGCAAGGAAACTGACT